GTTATTAGGGCTAGGGAAATAAATTGGCTAAGTCGACCGCAAAAATTGGTTGACCAAAATATTTCTGTGTCGAAAGTGGGGGCAGGTGATTTCCAGAGTGAGAAATAGATCAAAACCAAAATGCAATGCTCCCCCCCCCCCGTCCCGCTCAAAAAAATAATCCATCCATCCATTATCCGACCCACTTATCCTCACAAGGGTCGCCGTTTACATTTTGAAATGATTACTGAAGTCTGTATTCTGATCATATTCAGTCATACTGTATAAATTTCCCATGCCCACAGCGTAGCTTGGTGTCCTTGAAGAAATCATCACCTCGAATTGGCATACTCCCTGCTGGAAACGCACAAACATTGGAATGCGCTAAGCTGAGAATCGGTTTAGGAGAAACGAAAATTATGATATCACACCTTGTGTCTCGGTACCGCCCTTCTGATGGTATAAAAGTGATGTGAATCTCTTCCTGCTTCGCACTCGTGACCATCGCAGCCATTGTCTGTAACTCGCGGGTGCCCGAAATATTCTTTTATTAAAAGCTTCGAAGAAACTGTTCATCGGCTCCAGCCTTTATTTGAAGAACCAACATTCTCCTTGTCCGAAATTCAACGAACACGCGGGGGAAAGAAGGCCACTTTCCTCCAACATTATTTATTCAACATTCCGGTAAAATTGCACTGCCCCATCACCAGTGAGCTATTTTAGGAGCAGGCCTGCAGGCTACTCCTGTGGTCCCTGAGGTGGGGGGGGGGGGGCTAACTGGTCCCCCCAGCCAACATGTTGGTGATCCCTGCTATGCTAAATTTTCCTTTGGTTTTTCATTCGACATATGTTAGCATTAAGGTCGCAAGTGTTCATGAGTTGCGCATGTTGGTGTGTATTAATTAAATAAGAATCAGTTTCACCGCGAACCTCGCCGAGGAGCGACAAACAGCTTGAAGCAAGCACGCTTCGCCTCATATTTGGAGGGCCGTGCAAGCGAGAGATTTTTTTTTTTTGTTCCATTTCCTCAGAGTTCCATGTGCAGTCTGGCATTTCTTGATAGTGAGGAAGTGAGAACAGGTGCTTCCCAACCTTTAGTGAGCCAAGGCAATGATTTTCCTTTCGAATAATCTCATGGCACACCACCAAATGAATGTCAGCGATATGAAGAGTGAAATAATGATGATCTCGTCCCCATTTCCTCACAAACTGACTTGCTTCATATGAAATCTGCATCTATTTGATTGCACGCAGTGCTGATATACCCTCAGGAAGATTTGTTCTGGTGCATGAATGCTAATGGATTTGTTGTACCGACTGCCTTCTTATTGAAGAGCAATGTGATTGTTCTGCCTGTCACTGTGCATTGCTGGTTTGGGTAAATGAACTGGAAAAGTTTGGAAATCTGAAATAATTGGTGGGTAAAAAGTGTGGAGATGTGCATAGCGCATTTGAATTCTGCTGAAACGAGCCCTACGGATTTGCGCCTTTTGACTGCTCGCCGGCAAAATGTATTCAATTGAAGGCAGATGGTTCGTCCTTTTGTCGCACGGCACCAACGTTCACGCGAGCGAGTTCACCTGAGGAAGAGGTTCCCACGTCTCATCCGCTTTCCGAAGCAGCGATGGGTGACAAGGGTCAACAGCGAGCCTCCGTGCTTCGCCTCCGTCCGACGGGCGGGAAGTCGCCGCAGGGTCGCAGCCAATTAGCTAGGTTGCTATGGAAACGCTTTCTAACCGTTAGCGACACACAGAGAGTCGCTATGTTAAGTACGCCTGCACAATCGGTGAGATTCAAAGGTATAACTACCTCTCACAAAGATAATTATGGTCACCTTTATTTGCAGAGAGGTTTTCATTTCACCATGTGGAGTATTTTGGCCGTCCCTAAAACTGAGGCTAATCATGTAAAGCTCCACAAACTCTATCGATAAAGATATGTTGAATACAAGCACATTGACAATGCAATTGAATAATTTTGCATTAGCTACCTATTGGGTTTCTAATATATATGCTACGTTGGTGCGGAAGCGTATTGCATTCACTTTGAAAAAAAACTCAGGTTTCTGTGTAATTCATTTTCAGGCTTTTGGAGTCTTTTTTTGGTGTATTTTAAAGACTATTTTTGTTCTGTTTTTCTGAGGGTTTTTTTTTTTTGTCTGTTTTTTGGATGTTTTATTTTGTGGTCTGTTTTTTAACCTGTTTTTCCCAAAACATTTTCTATACCCCTCCTGAAATTTTTTTTCCCTAATCTTTTTCATGTTTTTAGATTTTTTTTTCTCTTTTTCTGAATAATTGTATTTGATTAATGACCAAAAAAAAAGCTGATTTTCTTTTACCATGAACCAGAAGAAATAAACAGAAACAAACAAAAACATACAAAAACACAAAAAAACCCCCACATTTTGTTTAGGTGTTTTCTCTCAAGGGAATGCACCATGCTTCTGTACATTTATTCTTTGATGAAAGTGATTTCGAATTATGTGCTTTGACCCAACTTCTAAGTTTTTCAAGATACAAGCTGCCATTCTGACAATTTATTTTTGGGGGGTGTGACTTTTCCAGCTAAAAGCTTGGCTCAACACAACTCGCTTAATGACAAGCAGAAGTTTGTCAGACAGTAAACAATTATTATTAATAATAATAATGGGTGGCACGGTGGAGCAGTGGTTAGTGAGTCAACCTCGCAGTGCAGAGGTTGTGGGTTTGATCCCGACCTTCCTGTGTGGAGTTTGCATGTTCTCCCCGGGCCTGCGTGGGTTTTCTCCGGGTACTCTGGTTTCCTCCCACATTCCAAAAACATACATGGCAGGTTAATGGAACACTCAAAATTGTCCCGAGGTGTGAGTGTGAGCGCGAATGGTTGTTCGCCTCTGTGTGCCCCGCGATTGGCTGGCAAACGGTTCAGAGTGTCCCCCGCCTACTGCCCGAAGACAGCTGGGATAGGCTCCAGCATGCCCCATGACCCTTGTGAGGATAAGCGGATTGGAAAATGGATGGATGGAAGATAAAAATAAAAAAAAGGGGCTTCAGTGTCTATATTGCCACACTCAGTTGAGGTTTACTGTCACACTAAGGTGTGAGCTGGGGCAGACAAGGGCTCCAACATGAATGTGTTCAATGTGTTTTTTTTTTTCAATAAACAGCTGGATCATCAACTATGGCTCTCCTTTCTCACAACCAAGGGCATTACAGTAAGTGTACTGTAAACACCCATGAACGGTCGCTATAAACTGCTGATTTTTGCATTATAGCAGGGGAGCTCTGTATGTTAAAACAAATTATTTTAAATTGTAGTTTAAAAATAAGCAACTTTCTAAAGTCCATATGTGACTCCGTCTCAATTGAGGCAATTATAGTTCCTCACAGTTCATTTTCCTGATGGCAAAAACTGTGGTTGTTTATTTGAGAGAGATGTTTATTTGACACACCTTGCAGCTGTTAGAGCAGCGATCATTGTTTTCGCAAATATTACATTCAAAGGCCATCTCATCATCATTCGCATAATATGAACATAAACACGCTATGTACACACTGTTCACTGTAAAGCAAAAAAACCAAAACAAACTCCTTTAGTTGTTCATTAGCATGCTAATGAAAGTAGCTTTTAATGTCGAGGGTTTCATTTTTTTTTTTTTTTTAATCCTCGGGGCGCTTCAATCCATCTGCTCAGTCTGGGTTTTTAAACACAACATATGCCAGCATGGGGAAGACATTTTCCATCCTTCCCGTTTTCCCCCGATGCATTTCGACTTTGGGGATTTCTGTGCAGTGGCACGTTGCTTGCGAAAAGGCAGCATGCTATTTGATCTCAAGGCGTTTCCTTCAACGCTGCCTTTTAATGCCGGGTTCCATCTGCTTTTGAGAGAAGAAAACATGATGGTTCCTCATGGACCCATTGAGTTTATACTCCTACTTGTCCTGCGTCAGATCCAATGCGTAGACTCGGGGAGATGAGTGCCTGTGTGCATATACATCCTATAGAGACATAAATACTCGTAAATGCTAATCAATTGGATGTTTACTGCACACCAGTGGCTGCAAAGCATCATTCCCAGTCTCCTTTCATGTTTCAGTAATGAAACTGAAACCTTTTACCACCGGGTGTCTGCTCATCCTTTATCAGAGCTTGAAATCTATTTCATAAAATGGAGGTCTTACCTATCCTTCAAAATCACACTTGATCCTTAAATCCGCATCAGGTGTTTGTTTTTGGGTTAAGAGGGAGTGGGGCGGGGGGAGCATCAGAATACACATCATGTCGTTTTTGTCAGTTTGATGAAAAAAGAATACAAGCCGGAGTTGTTATGCTACGATTTTTGTGTGTTAACAGTGCCCCTAACTTGCCATTCGAACAGCTGAATGGGCGTAGCTGGAATAGACCTTAATTATTATTATAATTTTTTTTAATACTGCCTAGTAACAAGTTTCTGATTTAAACTAAGTACGACTTAATCAAGGTCGGCTCAGTGACCTAGTGGTTAGCGCATCAACCTCACAGTGCAGAGGTCGCAGGTTCGATCTCAGCTCCAGCCTTCCTGTGTGGAGTTTGCATGTTCTCCCTGTGCCCGTGTGGGTTTTCTCCGGGTACTCCGGTTTCCTCCCACATTCCAAAAACATGCATGGCAGTTTATAGTCTTGTCCCTGGGTGTGAGTGTGAGCGCGGATGGTTGTTCGTCTGTGTGTGTGCCCTGCGATTGGCTGGCACCCGGTTCAGGGTGTCCCCCGCCTACTGCCCGAAGACGGCTGGGAGAGGCTCCAGCACCCCCCGCGACCCTTGTGAGGATAAGCAGATCGGAAAATGGATAGATGGATGAACGTCTTAATAACCCCCGTGCAATACAGGTACACTTCATGTACACCTGACATGCGTTGTGTTTTAAAAACGAATGCATGCCACAGGTTTAAAACCCATGCATGGCATGCATTCGTTTTTGCAACACAACGCATGCAGGTGTACATGGAGTGTACCTGCATGGCATGAGGGATTTATTAAATTAATAGTGTGTAGGTACTGATATGTCTCGGAGCGTTTGAGACGCTCGTTGCCTCACGTCTGAAGCAAGAGAGTACGGAAAGTTGTTAAATATGTAAGTGTACCTTATCGCTGGCCTCTTTTGTTGTTATCCTCCTACCCCGCTACATTAGCCGGAAGAGGGCTTGTTAAAGTCTGTAACTGTCATGGAAAGTGGACTCGGGACAGTTTCCATGGAAACAAAACGCCAGTTTTGCTATACCGGAAGTCGCGCCCATATATCACGGAAAGACTCACGGGGGCCTAGGAATAAGGTGCATAGGTTAGATTACATCTCAAGATTGTGCTTCCTTCCTCCTCCAGAAAGGAGACATCATCCACATTATCGATAAGCCTCCCGTGGGCACATGGACAGGAAAACTCCACCACAAGGTGGGCTCCTTTAAGTTCATATACATCAATCTCCTGCCCGACGAGAGCCCCCCTGTCAGGCGAAGACGTTGTGACAGCAAGACCAACAGAAACAAGTCCAAACCATCCACCCTGGAGGAGGTGCTGGACTGCATTGGGCTGATGGTGCGATCTCTTCTAACTACTTTTGCTTTTATGATTCATGGTTCCATACCTGTCAACTTGTACGTTTTCCCCGTATTTTATACGTTTTTTTATCATGTCAAATCATGCACGGCGTATTACAACTTTTATACGGGAAAAAAAAAAAATTGTGAACCGATCTCACAAAGACCATTTTGGCTCAAATCCAGATCGTCTCACCTGCTGGTAGCCAACCACAATGCCGTCGTCGATTGCTCCTATTGTTACGGCAAACCAGCAAAAGTAATCCCCAATCGTATATTTTTTATCCATCGCTGCGTACTTTAGGATTGATAAAGCATGATGTGCGCATGCGCGGTAAATGTTGTAAGGGTTTTTGTTGCTTTGTAAGGGGAATCGTAATCATTTATAAGGGCAGCTATTATCCAGGGTTGACAGGTATGTGGTTCAATCGATAGGCCTACTAATAGAACACAATCACTAGCCACAAGCTACTTGTTCACAAATGACCTCCATCCCTTTCCAGGAGTTGTCTTCCTTGCTGTCCATGCATGGATTTCAGAACCTGGAAGACTTCACGGGTTTGAGGGAGTCTCATCTCAATGAACTGAACATCACTGACCCGGATCAACGCGCCAAGATCCTGAGCGTTGCCGACCTGCTCCGAGACCGTAGGTTTTAGTGATCCTCCTTAATGTCTCTCTCTTCAACTCGTTTAACCAAAATTAAAAGGAGACTTTTGCACATTTTTCACAATCTGAATCAGTAGCTTTACGACATCTATCATCATTATTAAATCAGTTAAAATTCACAAATGATAGAGTTGGAGCACACTTGATAGTCATTTCTCCTTCCCACTCTTGTTCAAATCACCGCATTTTGAGGGTCATGCCTGTGCACAAAGCAATGGCGTTGCGACAAAGGCAGCAGCTATACTCAATATTGCCGACTTCATCCTCATACTTAGCCACTTCTCTGACCCCCCTCGCAACTATTTTTCCAAAAAGCCACGGGCAGCAAATTCAGCGCCTATTCAGGATGTTATTGATGACTCCGAGACTCCCTCCAAAGCAGGAGATGTCTACTGACTGCAAATGAATGACGTGCTTTCACAAAGCCACTAATGGCTAATTTAATGATTTTGAAGCCTCATTTTATTTCCTTGGCAATTCTTCTCTTCTCTCTGGTGTGTGAAGCTTTACATGACAAATTAGTTTTCATTTGACAAGGATTGTAAAGGTATTAGAAGTCAATTTTCCATCATATCTTTAGAAAGTCTGCGCTGTCAGTCAGAAAGTCATCTCGTAGTCCCTCTGACACAGGAAGTGTGCTTGTCGGGAATCTGTTATGCTACCATCCCACTTCTTTGCCTCAGCCATGTAACGACAAATTTTTTACTGCTCTCTTATGCAGCTTTACACTCACTCTCATGTTCAATCTTTTGTAAGACATCTTGACATTCGAGCTCATCTCGCTTGCACACACGTTTTCATTTCCTCCGCACTCAGTCTGCGGTAGCTGTGAAATGAAATGAATTGCAGCAACTCTTTGCTACCCCCTAAAAAAAAAAAAAAAAAAAAAAAGCTGCAAAGATTGATCAAATCCAGCATGTTGTAATATTGCCAGAAAAAAGTCACAATGTTCCCAGAACAGTTTACAACACATTAAAGAACAAATCTCGAACAAGGTAAAATGTTATATTATCAAAATAGACTTGCAAAGTTACCAGAAAAGTCTTAATGTCCTCATATTACTGGAAAAATGTGAAAAAGTTACAATGATAAAGTCGTAATATTAGAACAAAAAAGTTTTAACAATGCAGTTAAACAGTTGGAGAAAAAAAAGCTTTTTTATGTGCCACTAATTAATCGTTACTTTTCTTTTTAAGAACACACACACACACACACACACACACACACACACACACACACACACACACACACACACACA